ATATTAATTCCACCAAGTGAAGTGCAAGAATCCAAATTATTGAAGTCCACCTTATCACAACCCGCACACCCGATTACCTAAATATACATGAACTTACGGTTAAAGCTCAACAGCTGGCCTCTGTAGCTCAGTTGGTTAGAGCACTGCACCGGAATCGCAGGGCCGTAGATTCAATTCCTACCAGAGGACCTTGTGCTGCATTTTTCGCAGTCGTTTCTGGTTAGGTCTTAAAATGTATATATTCTCACTTGGATTCCAAACCCTAACATTCTAATATTAATTCCACCAAGTGAAGTACAAGAATCTAAGTCATGAAGTCCACCTTATCACAACCCGCACACACGATTACCTATATATACATGAACTTACGGTTAGAGCTTAACAGCTGATCTCTGTAGCTCAGTTGGTTAGAGCGCTGCACCGGAATCGCAGGGCCGTCGGTTCAATTCCTACCAGAGGAGCTTGTGCTGCATTTTTCGCAGTCGTTCCTGGTTAGGTCTTAAAATGTATATATTCTCACTTGGATTCCAAACCCTAACATTCTAATATTAATTCCGCCAGGTGAAGTGCAAGAATCTAAGTCATGAAGTCCACCTTATCACAACCCGCACACCCGATTACCTATATATACATGAACTTACGATTACAGCTTTAACAGCTGACCTCTGTAGCTCAGTTGGTTAGAGCGCTGCACCGGAATCGCAGGGCCGTAGGTTCAATTCCTACAAGAGATAATTGTGCTGCATTTTTCGCAGTCGTTCCTGGTGAGGTCTTAAAATGTATATATTCCCACTTGGATTCCAAACCCTAACATTCTAATATTAATTCCACCAAGTGAAGTGCGAGAATCTAAGTCATGAAGTTCAAAGAGAGCCTGTTCGCTCGCTATTCCCTAACACGTTCAGCAGAGACCCTGGTTCAGGCTATTCACGTGATACCTTAACTCACTTTGTCACGCTGGAGGGTAGGCTGAAGTATGTAAAGTGCAAAGAACAAGTTTCTAGGAGTGTTTATTTTGAATATCGTACATTGGATTAATCAAAATGTATGATTTACTTACTTTAGTTGTTTAGATTTTTTACTGTAAAATGTGTAACTGGAATATAATATTACTTTTAAAGCTTTAGACTAAGGGGCGGACCATCAGAAATCCCGGGAGGGGGTATAAAATTTTTGCGGCACGAATTTTTTTTCAAGACTATTTGTACTTTGCTGTTTGCTTGCACGAATTTTTTTTCTCTGACGTAATGGCTGCACGAATTTTTTTCCAGGCATTTTTCTTTGCATGAATTTATTGGGGGGAATTTTCACCCCCCCCCCCATCCCCTCCCGGGATTTTTAATGGTCCGCCCCTAAGAGTGATTGCCGGATAAAACAATCCGCTTTAATGACTGATTCCGTTTTAAAACAAATTCTAAGGCCTGCTTCATACGTCGAATTTAATTCAGACGAATTCAGATTCGTTATTAAATTCGTCATTTGTTCGACACAAAAATGGTTTCGTTTCAAACGACGAATTTAATTCAGACGAATTCGTTTCATGTCTAGCGATTATGGATTACCCAGAAGTAAAAACCACGAGATCAGAAAGAGAGAAACCCTGAGAGAAACTATGAGGTGTGATATCCGCCAAAATTCATATATTCAATTATGCCATTGGAAATTGCATTTATGAAGTTCAGTTATGCTATTATGATATTCGATATTATGATATTCGAATTTCATTAATTCATTCGGCATGAAACAGTCAGTATTGAAATTTCATTCGGCGTGAAACAGTCATTATTGCTCAACCTCATTATTGAAATAGTCATTCGGCATGGCACTTGGAAACCAAAATTCGACTTCCGATTTAGCGGGAAAAGCACGCGGGGAGTTTCAACATGGCCGAAGGCGAAGGCAATTTAAGTCAACGGCGTGCTACGAGCAACAAAATTGCTGCAACTTGCAACAAAATCTGATTTCAACGCATGTTAAGTAGAAATGTTGACACATGTTGCCTCGTGATTTGTAATGTATGTGTAAACATTTTCAATTAACATGCGTAGAAATCAGATTTTGTTGCAAGTTGCAGCAATTTTGTTGCCCGTATTACTCTATCAGAGATTATCTTGGATCGTCAAATGATGTTTCTTCAGCACAAGTTGCGAGTCCAAATGTAATTTCTCGAAGCTAATCGCATGCTACTACATCATCTGGCAGCACTGCCGTCAATACTATATTACTATACATCAAATCCAGAAAAAGTGTTGGGGAATTTTAGAAATCTTTTTGCGCGGTATGGGCATACGGGTCGCCGATGTCTAAGTTCCTCAACACAGTTGTTTTCAATACGTCTACAACACTTATGTTTCTGTCTTGTTGATTTAAATTGCCTTCGCCTTCGGTCATGGTGGAATTACAATTTCCCGCTAAACCGGAAGTCGAGTTTTGGTTTCTGAGTGCCATGCCGAACCGGAAGTCGAATTTTGGTTTCTGAGTGCCATGCCGAATGGCCATTTCAATAATGACTGTTTCACGCCGAACGAAATTCGAATAACATAATATCGAATATCATAATAGCATAACTGAAGTACTGAACTTCATAAATGCAATTTCCAATTGCATAATTGAATATATTCATTTTGGCGGATATCTCACCTCATAAGAAACAGACTTTAACATAATTTATGCATTTAATTCGACACGACGATAACACGTCGTATGAAACGAAGACGCGCTACAGACGTTGTATCCGTCTGACCATGACGGATAAAACGTCTTGGATGAATTTAATTCATCAGACGAATTTAATTCGTTTCATACGATGCACTACCGTCGCATTTAATTCTTAAATTCGTCTGAATTAAATTCGACGATAGTTTAGTTTAGCTTAGTTTTATTTACCCACAAATAATATTTACAAGTTGAATATTTAAGAATATTATATATAAACGAGCTAGAGACCTCTGGAAATCCTGTTGGACTTTTAAGACGAGGCCCCTATAGTTTTAGTGTTCAGGAATATAAAAATAGATTATGTACATAAGGACAATTTGCAATGAAAAACACAAAAAAAGTGCGACGTATGAAACAGGCTTAAAGTTACCGCTTCTAGTTTTATCTGTTATCGAACTAAAAAAAAGAATTAATGTAATTCTTGGCCTTGGGTGAATAAGAAAAAGCATGCTGGTTCGAACGGATACAATATGACATATGTATTAACTGACGAGACCAACGTAAATAAATACCAGTAAAATGTGAGAGTACACGTAGTACGTTTCGCGATGCATTAAACTTGTAGCGGACATCGTCATCGAAATACAAACAGCTCGGACATAAAAGTGGAATAGTAAAAAAGGTTATAAAATACAAATAATGATTGTTTATGAGTACAATGGTAAGAATTAATTTCATGAGGTGAAAGATGAAATGTTCCATTCAACGAGGCGACAGCCGAGTTGAATGGAACATTCCATCTTTCACCGAATGAAAATATTCTTACCATTGTACGAATGAAAATATTCATTATTTGTTTTATATAATACCAAAATAGACTAATAAACTGCGATCACCGTACAAGAAGCATTTTGACGGATGCGATTTATCGAAAACACAAAGAGTGCAATGGAATGAAACGTATAGTACAATTGGATTCGCAAAGAGTGCAATGGAACGTATTCCATTGCACTCTTGGGAAATGGAATTTCCTATTCAATATCACGTTACCATAAACAGCCAATTAAAATTCAATAAGGTATTATATAAAACGTTTTAATCATTCTAATGAGTTAAATGGTACGACGTCGACACTTTATATCTCTAGCTCTGCATGTGATATAAAAGGTGTAGCAAAACAATACCGTAACTGACAAACAGCTGGTAAATTAAACAGGCTCCATTCGTAATGGTAGTAACATACAGGGCGCTAATTAAAAACACCCCAGATTCTGGGGGTGTCACGTGACCAGCCTGAACCAGGGGGAAGTAGAGAGCCTGGCTTGCGAGGTTGGGAAATAGTCAGATATTTCGCAAGTCAGAAATTTCGCGTTACACTTGAATGAAAACGTTCCATCAGCAATCAGTCCCTTTATACAATACCTTCTCAATTTTCCACTTGCTCACATCGGTTCCTTGACGTTGTATCAAGAGCTCCAGCCCCACTGGATGTAGATATTCTCCATAGTTCACAGCTCGCAAGAACCAAATAAATGCATGATGTTCATTGGAACTAAACATAGAGGTCGGTCCAGTATCAGTGTATGTTAAACAATGATCTGTACAGTTGGCTATGGTAAAACCATCGTAACTTTCTTTCAAAATATCATGAGTTTTTCCTCCAAAATCATTCACGATTTCTGCTATTCGTGCATATTCGAGATTATTTGGAGGCCGAGCATGAAACGGTATAGTGTTATTAGTTAGTAGTGTGTTTAGTTCATGTTTCATTGGTTTATCAAAGTAAACTAATATTTCCTCAACAACTGGAGGGGATACAGCTCCTTTGAATATGATAACATTTGCAGACCGAGCTGGTTTTGGTCCGTTGTGGTCAAGGTATGCAATGGCGTCATCTTTGTTGACGTTCTGTAGTTCAATCAGGAAAATGTAGTTTGAGTTGACCGCAGCTTTTTCAAAAGGAGTGATATTAAGCGACGCAACGTTCAAGATGTAGTCACGCACTTGAAAAAGCTCTATTTCAGATAAATCTCGATACAGATCCTGAGATTTCGTATAATTTGGCTTGAGCGACGAGGTCGTTGCACAGATGGATACGCTGCCTGATTGTTTGGAATCATTCACAGAGATAATGATCACAGCTATAGCAAGACCAAGCACAAGTAGGACTAAAAAGCATATAATAACTTTAACGGCTCGTGATGTTGTGCTATCATTTAGATCGCTTTCTTTCTGTGCAGCTACTGTGGGCATATACACTGTGCCTTCGGTATCACTCTTGATTTTCGCCATATTTGAATAGATGAAATATGAGACGCCACACCTTGGAGTCAAACGGCACATTGGGAAGCGGGGTGACATGCATAATGATTTGTAGCGAAATAATTTTTTTCCCTATGACAGATTTTAATAATTACAAACAAATTTTTTCTAATGATATTGGGCTAGGAGCCTAGGAACCTACTAGAAACCTTTACAGGCTTTTTGGTTTAGACCCCTAGTTATGGTTCATAATGAGGTTAATTAGTGATAGGTAATCATTTTTATTAAAAATTGCTTGATTTTCCTACGTTTTCCTACTTTTCTCATAAAATCCTACTTTTTTAAGACAGCTTGGGGAATCAGTATGTTATAGGCTAGCTCTCGTAATTAGATCTATAGGACTCGTAATTTTTATTCCCTATTTGTGTCCCAGATGATAAGATCTCAGGAGGAGAAGAAGTACATTTTCCGAGTATGAAATTTCATAGCATCTCTAGAATCATAATCAATAAATTAATGAAGACTCTGAAAGTGCCATTTCCGACGATATAGTAGACTTGTAGGCCTACCGTCATATCCTGAACTCTTTTTAGAATTTGAAATTTTTATCTCAGTTTCTACATCATATTTAGTAATCGCTTCAAGAAAAAAGCTCTTCTTATAATTTATGCTTGCATGAAATTTAACCACATAGATGTGGCGTAGGACAGGCCTTGGCAATGATTAACTGAGCTAATTTACAAACCAAGTTGTCATCACCAATTCATAATAATGTTTAGCAGACAATGCCGCGGGCAAAGTTCAAGTTGCGCCAAAAATCTGCATTTGCCACTAGAAGAAAGATTGCATTCTGCTTGACAATCTTGTGTATGGATTCAGGACGGAGATCAAGACAAGATTGCACAAACTGGCAATGTTTTGATAGATGGAGACGAAGTATATTTTCAATCAGCGAAGTTATAGGTAATAGTCAATAACCGCGCAACTATCTATATTTACAAATTGCAAAGCATCGCACCGGAGAGCTGGTGATAGAGTTATAAAATTGTGGCCGCAGTCACTGAACGTCGGAAATTTGTCCATGATATTTGAAAGCTTAATGTTAATGGAGAGTATATCTAACTTCGGAAGGAGGAGAAATAATTCTCTCCTCGGAAAATAGATTTTTTGAAATTGAAATTTCGAGTAGTTTTATACTGCCAACGGAGAGCCCGTAACAACGACTGCAATACTAACTTCTTATTAACCGAACGCGAGGTCTGTACAGAGAAATATCGGACCGAGGTCTTTTTTGTACAGACCGAGTTCGTATAGGGCGAGGTTTTTACAAAAAGACCGAGGTCCGATATTTCTCTGTCCAGACCGAGCAAGCGAGGTTAGGGAGCGGTCATTAATTATTGGGGGGGGAGGGCCGGTAAATTTAGGGGGAGGGCTACCATTTTTTGGACCCCCTTTTGGGGAGGGCCAAATTTTTTTGTGCCCATCTAGAAGGGAGGGCCACAAATATTTGGGCACCTATTTCAGTAAAAAAAGTTATATTTCAATGACCAATTCAATGGGCCCGTACACGGATAATGAATGAAGGCTTCCATGCAGAGATAATTAAAACGAAATTTATTTCACCAACACCAGAACAATTTCTTTCACCAACGATAATAAATCATATTTTATACATGTAATGTCAAGTATAACAACTAGTTGATACTCATATATTTCCTCACTTGCCGAGCCTGTAAAGTTCATTGCTAAGTTTCAGCAATATGGTGTACATTGTTTCATGTCAATAATATGCGGTACAATAAAATCTAACAAACGGAAATCTTACAAATATATGGTCTGTAGTATAAAAACATATACGTGATCAGTCTGAGTCACATATTGGTTGACAGTAAGGTATACATCCAGAGGTTTCCCAGTATGGACCAACATGAAATATGAATGACGATGACGTGGTCAGTGACCTAGAATACATCTACCATATTTGTAGCATAATTAATAATCCTGACAAAACAAATCTTGAAAATGTAAATCAAACTCCTATGGCAACCTCAAATATTGATACATTAAGCAATAACTCCTTCAAACAAGATGAATTAGTACCAACAATTCGTGGCTTTAAAATAGCCAGCTTAAATATTACTAGTCTGCCGAAACATATAGACGAATTAAGTGTCGCAATGAGAAATAATGATATTGATGTCCTTGCAATCATGAAAGCAGAATGGACAACAGTATAGCACCCGAGTTAATAACAATACGTGGCTACAACTGGGTTTCCAAAGATAGAAATAGATTTGGGGGTGGTATTGGTTTCTACATTAGAAATACAATAAATTATTGTCTTAGGCCAGACCTAAATGATAATGATCTTGAAATTTTAACAATTGAAATTATTAAAAACAAAGTTAAGCCATTTCTAATTACTACATGGTACAGACCGCCAAGCGATTCAATCAGCACTCTATATAAATTTGAGAGTTGTTTAAAATTAATTGATAACGAAGACAAAGAAAGTATTATCTTAGGGGATATTAATTGTGATCTCCTAGACAACAATCCCACGTCACTAGTATCAGAATTGAAATTTATTACAAATCTATATCAATACGAACAATTGATAAAAGAACCTACTAGGGTTACAAAAGATACTTCATCCCTTATAGATCATTTTTATACAACAAACACCAACCACATTATTTCTAGTGGTGTGACAGCTATCACTATCAGTGATCACTATTTGATCTACGGCATTCGTAAATTTAAAACTTTTAAAAAGTCTCCACGGTTTATTGAATACCGGGATTTTAAACACTTCAATGAACAAGACTTTATGTGTAATCTAACATCGTTATCAAATTTGAATCTCATCCATTCTGATCCTAATAAATCTTGGACGATTTGGAAAAACAAATTCCTAGAGATTGTAAATATACATGCCCCGCTTAAAAGACGCAAAGTATCCAGTAAACAAATACCATGGTTAACGAATGATCTTATTTTAAAAAAGCGGGAGAAGACCTATTTAAAACGCAAAGCAGTGTTATCAAAGTCTATGACTGACTGGTCCGACTACCGCCATGCAAGAAATTGTTATAATAAACTTGTGAAAGATACAATCCGCAGTCATTTTCAAAATAAATTACACAATAACCAAGGTGATCTTAAAAAAACCTGGAAAACGATTAATGAGTTAATTAATAAGTCTAAAAAAGAGAATACAGTTCTAGAAGTAAGAACTGATTCTGTTGAAATTACTGATCCGATAAACATCTCAAATGCATTTAATAAGCATTTTGTTGAAATGGGAGATAAACTTTCGAATGATATACCTCAATCAAATGTAACTCCTGAAAGTTATCTTAGCGACGTTCAAAATTCAGTAAATCAGTTAACCTGTTTTAGAGAAATTACAGAACCAGAAATATTAGGTTTACTTCAGGGATTGGTTGCCTCTAAAGCATCCGGCATCGATGGAATTTCAGCCAAAATTTTGAAAATCGCAGCTCCAGCAATTACTCCATCCATTGTATCAATTTTTAGTCAATCAATCGCAACTGGTATATTCCCATCTGATTGGAAAGTCGCTAGGGTAGCTCCAATACACAAAACAGGAGCTAAGCACGATATGGAAAATTACAGACCGATATCTGTTATTTCAATTATAGCGAAGATCATGGAGAAACTGATACATAATCAATTATATGACTATCTTATAGCTTCAAACCTACTAACAAATTCCCAACACGGCTTTAGACCATGTCATTCAACAACCACAGCTCTATTAGACATTACTAATAGATGGTACCAAAACATGGACGTAGGACAATTAAATGGAGTTGTATTTTTAGATTTAAAAAAGGCCTTTGATACTGTTGACCACGACATTCTTCTAAAAAAATTAAAAATTTATGGCATAAAAGGCATGGCACTCTGTTGGTTGCGATCATATCTATCAGACAGAATCCAATATTGTCAAATAAATGGTCACCTGTCAGACCCCCTAACCGTGAAGACCGGAATACCACAAGGCTCGGGATTAGGCCCATTATTGTTTTTGATCTATATTAATGATTTTCCAAAATGTTTAAGACACACTAGACCAGATATGTTTGCCGATGACACCCAAATTGCAACATCTAATAGCGATATCAATGTGATCTTAGAGAATCTTAACACAGATTTAATAAATGTTTCGACTTGGATGTCAGCTAATAAATTAACTTTGAACAATAAAAAAACGGAGTTCATGGTTATAGGTAGCAATAAGCGACTTGGCCAAATAGTCCAAGAACCCTCAATTTGTGTGAGAGGCAAAGAGATTAAAAAGGTTAATACAACCAAGTCGCTTGGCCTAATGATTGATGATACTTTATGCTGGTCGGCCCAAGTTGAAAAAATTACAAAAAAAGTTAACTCGGGACTCAGCATTATTAGAAGACTGCGGGATATTGTTGATTATAATACTTTAATAACTGTTTATAAATCAATAATCCAACCACACTTTGATTATTGCTCACAAGTTTGGGGTTGCCTAGGAAAGGTTTTATCAGATAAAAATACTACTTCAGCGTCTCCAAAATAGAGCGTTTCGTATTATTACCCGTGAAGGATATGAAACGCGATCAAAAGATATTCTAATCAGGGCAGGATTTTCAGATCTGCAAACAAGAAGGGAACAACAACTTGCTACATTAATGTATAAGATTAAACATAAAATGCTTCCAAACTACCTGCAGGATATTTTCATCAATACGCAAGAAGTCCATAATCATAACACTAGGCATAGTGAATTTAATTATACATTACCAATGCCAAATACTAATGCTATGAAAAAATCATTGGCCTACAGAGGTGCAGAGACTTGGAATGCTCTCCCAATTGACCTGAAGTCGTTAGGAAGTATAGCAACTTTTAAGAGTGGGGTAAAACAATGCAGATTGATATAATGTTAAGTTATAAAATTTTTTTATATTTATAGTAGTTAGCACACGGCCTATTGGAAGATCACTTTTTTCTGGTTGTTTTTGTAAATAATATATTTTTAATATAATGTGAAATAGTACCGTGTTTAAATAAAGTTGAAGTTGAAGTTGAAGAAAAAACTGGTTACTCAGTACCTGGAACATCTTCGCGAACTAGAAAGAAGGAGGGAAGATAGCAGAAAGCGCGCAAATCTGGAAGAAAAGAGAAAGACCTTTGAAGATTACAACTGGAAAGCTATTTACAGGGAAGGAAAAATAAAGAAACTGAAAGTTGTTGTATTGGACTTGGACGTGTATATATCAATGAGAAATTTGAAGCAGTCGAAAGGGGCGTTAAAGCAAGAAAAAGTCGATATCGTATCACTTGACATAGCAAAGTTGCGGTGACTTCCCACTAGTCCGAAGGTTCACTACTCCGAAGGTTCAACTAGTCCAAAACATACGCTGCTTTGAATTGCAATTACGTGTTAGACTTGGCTGCTTCGCAGTTAAGCATTACGTGCATACACGCACGGAAAAATTTAAATCCACTTAAGACTTTCAAGTGGATTTAAATTTTTCCGTGCTTGCAGATTAGCAAAGGATTAGCGTGCTTGCTTGTGGCGTCATTCAAGCAAGTGCTAGAATGTTAAGCAAGCACGTCGCGGTCGAGTTTAGGTTTTTGTCGAGGGTCCAATGTCGAGGGTGAGGGTAAAAAGTCGAGGGTGAGGGTAAAAAGTCGAGGGTCATAAAAAAAGTCGTGGGTCGAAATTTGCGGGTAAAATAACTTGTTTAATGTTGTGACATGGACCTATCATATATATGTATGCAGAACTACATTAACTTTTAAAAGATACTACTTTGCGTAAATTTTCTAAGCGATTATTTTCTAAACCCCTTCACGCTCGCAAGTTAACATGTTTATGTCTAATATGAGAACGGTCTCTTTGCTTTCTTATCAAATTAAACGTAACAGCATAGATTATCGAGCAGCTGTAATCATCAAGCCAGTAATGGCAATACATTAAGGCAAAATATATTACCAATGGCAAGTTATGATAAAAAAACAACTTGTGTGGTTTTCTGCTAGATTGGAGCGCGGTTAGCGCGGTGCAGACATGCCACTGTTTCAACTAGAAACCAATTAATTAACGCTAAATGATTCAGTCAATATTACTCGTCTCACGGCCAAACATTGTCATTGACCAACCTCGCAAGCACACCTGCGACGGGACGGAGACCTTTGCTTGATGCGAGGTTGAACATTGCCATTGGCCTGTTTATGAAATTGTACTACGTTTAGAAACTCTTTTAAGACTTTTAAGTTAATATTGATAATAAATGCTCTTTGACTTTGCTTTTAATGAAAAAATTCCGCCTTTTTATAAAAAAATGCCTTAATCAAAAGTGGCCTGGAGACATTACACGCTAGAAGACATGCTGCGTGCGTGAAACTTTTTAACCAGACGACCCAAACCATCAACTTAATGAGTTAGTTTCTAGACCAGAATTCTCCCTTAATTCATGATTTACATAAGGAGAAACACCGTTTTAAAAACTCTTTTATCGTTAGTAGTTGTCTTAGTTGTCGTAAAAATACAACCCTCGACTTTTTTACGACCCTCGACTTTTTACCCTCACCCTCGACTTTTTACCCTCACCCTCGACTTTTTACCCTCACCCTCGACATTGGACCCTCGACACTCGACCCTCGACAAAAACCTAAACTCGTCGCGGTCACACTGAAAAAGTATTTATGCTTGCTTAAAATTGTAATGACAGATAAAGTGTCTTTGCATGGTTTTTGTTAAATTTACATTACGCAATTCTTCGTTATATAAATATATATAGACTTAAAATGGACAGAGATTCTTTGCTTTTATTTCATTGTATGTATCAACGTTTTCGCGTTTCGATGCTAAAAAACGAAGAGCGCTTAATCGCAGAAGGCGACGAATGTACCTTTTGCTTCACCAAATGAAACAAAACATGAGATGCTTCAGACGACAACAACATTGCTTTTTATCGCGATCGCCGAGGCGATCGCCAGAGTGGTCAACCCAAGAGTTGATCGTGAGTTTTGGGTTATTCCTAGACCAGGAGTTGGATCGCACTTTCTTTGTTTTGCTTTCGGTTCGGAGTTGAATCCTTTCTGATTTTTTAGAATACGAAAGATAGTGCGACTGCCTGCAATATGTGTGTCTGTGTTTCGAACTTGGCGCGTTAATGCAATTTTTGGTCTTATCAGGATTCGCGTTGCATAAATCCTCTTGAGATATGCATTCTAGCACAGTTCAGTCACCGTCCCTACAGTGCTTGAATCTTGCTGCGGTACTTTTGTAGTTTCAAGCAAAATGTGTCAAGTTTCAAGCAAGCTCCGATTATGCGTTTTACGCGGTCACACTATCAAACGTGCTTGGAGGCTGACCTGTTGACAGATTCAAGTAGATTACGTTCAAGTAAGCACGATTCTAGCGCTAGTGTGACCGCGGCCTATGCAAGTACGAAAAATTCTTAACTGGGAAGCAGCCAAGTTTAACACGTAATTGCAATTCAAAACCAGCGTATGTTTTGGACTAGTGAACATTCGGAGTAGTGAAACTTCGGAGTAGTGAACCTTCGGACTAGTGAACCTTTGGACTAGTGAACCTTCGGACTAGTGAACCTTCGGACTGGTGAACCTTCGGACTAGTGAACCTTCGGACTGGTGAACCTTCGGACTAGTGAACCTTCGGACTGGTGAACCTTCGGACTGGTGAACCTTCGGACTAGTGAACCTTCGGACTGGTGAACCTTCGGACTAGTGAACCTTCGGACTAGTGAACCGTAGTCCCTGATAACCGTCAACTTTCTGATAATGACAGAGATAGTAACGACCAGGATTCTGGTGACGACGATGTTGTCGTGCAGGAGATTGGAAGTGATGAGGATGATATTGATTCCGACGACGATGAAGGACAAATTTATGAAGGTGATGCGGGAGAAGAGGACGAGGAGGAAGAAAACATTTCCGACCTTTTGCAGACCACAAGATCTGGTAGAGTTTGCCGGACATGGAAGGGACGAGCCAGTGCTATAGACTAATTTACATAAAGATTTCAAATGATGTACTATTTAATGCATGTATAGGAGTGTTTTATACTATATAGCCGTATTTTATTCACGAAATTATGTCGCTGTTTGATCGGCGGCTTGACCGATTGGAAGGAAGCTATCTAAGGAAGGGGAGGGTCACAATTTTCTGGGCTATTATTTTGTGGGGGGCTAAAATTTTTGGGCGCTAATTTGAAAGGGGGTCAACATTTTTGGCCCTCGTTTTAGATATTTTACCGGCCCTCCCCCCCTAATAATTAATGACCGCTTCCTTAATAAAAAGTTCATTATATGGCATTTATAGGCATTTATCCTTGAAACAAACATGATTTGAAATACATATTAGTAACGTGGTACACTTTGGTCGAAGAAAACAAAAAAATAGCAATGTAGTCCTTCTTTTCCACTAACGAAACCATTCGCAGGTATCTTATTAATAACAAATTAAATTATAATTTTCAAATTTTCAATTAGTTTTGCTGTTTTGTTTTAAAATGCACGCGTTTTTCAATTACGTAATGGACCGCTGAAAGTGCTTCTCAACCAATCACAGTCCGTCATTTCACTGGAATTGATGCTTGCCATATAATAACTAACCAATATTCCCAGTTAACAGCGGTTTATCTCGGCCACTAATTGGTTTGCTAGTTATTTCTTATCAACCGTCATCCTCTTTTCACGGACATCCCTTAACCCTCCGCCAAGTCGAACCTCTTCGACGGCAACGACAACACCTATAGAAAGGCTAAGATTTAGAGCCAACGATAAAAGAATTACGGGTTGGAAGAAATCATTTTGGGCAACGGCAAAATGCATATTTTCACGTCTCGTATAGTACGCCAGCATTTCACGCCGTGACAGGTAGTTTTCCTAGCAGAGTTGACCAACATTGCACTGAGGGTTAAAGCTCTGTTTTATTCGTTCGAAACTGTTTTAAATTCATAAGAAAGTAAATACAAGACAAGATTTCCATACAATCATTTATTTCAAACAGTCTGTCAGTTAGCCGTCGTCCTGACGTCGCCGTCTTACATTCGTAAACTCCGCCTATTGAGACAGTGAGCATGTGATGGAAAGGTTAAAAATACTTGCAAGGGTATTTTTTTCTAAAAAGGTATGTTTTCTCACGTTGTGGCAAAACATTTCATAACATAACATCGCGCTAATCAACCGGAGTAAAAAAGTGAAATCCTGAAAGCTCTACTGAAAATTCTGTTTTCAATTTTCGGAATTCAGTGAAAATCAGAATTGCCGAAAGCCACCACTGATTGAACTACTACTAGTTTTATACTATCTTTAAGTTCTTTTTAACTATAAACGTCTTGCTCCTAAGTTCTCGCTCCTTGTTTCTTAGGCAATGATCTTTTTCGCGCGCTTTCTGTTTTTATCCCTAGGCATCTATTGCTATCTATTGATGCTCATTAATGTTCAGACATCACACGTAATTCATTTAGCAAAAACTTCACATCAGCCTCAATTAGCTTGTAATTGATGTGAAATGTTATTTTTCATTATATAATCAAGTATGAACTTTGATATTTACCAAAATACAGCCTTAAATAACCTATATCAGCCAATTTATTTGTTTTCATATATATTGGGATCAGTTCTCCGAAAATAACTTGGCGTGCAATCCAACTTAATTGTTTTATATCAATAACGCAAAATTAATACAGTTCATCTTGTTAGCTACCGATAGACAATGAAACAGCTGGACTTGGTATATAAGTGGTGGAAAAATAAAGGTGGAGAGCGAAATCAGCATTAGAGAAAATGCACTAAGATGGCCCCAAAATCATCAAAAAATATTGATTTGAAGTAGAAATTAGCTCAACATGTACGATGTGGAAACATATTAAGGATTACGTTGTAAACATATCTGTGCTGGCTCGCTCTATTGTTGACCAACATTCAGCGTGACAGCGTCCAACCTAACTTCTTCGATATACTATAGGATTGATATGATCTTGAACTGTCTGTTCCAGTGTAGGTAGTGTCAATAATAACAAGCTTTCGTTGGAAAAATATAAGGAGCATTTCGATGTTCCGAGGCCTTTCGTCGGGAATTAACTATAGCTCCCTAACAAACTGATACGCAACACATGCCTAAAACATATCTTGCCATTCACAGAGAAACCGCAGAGGATAGAAGAACAGATAAACTACTAAACTAGCAAACAGATCGTTTCATTAAAACAAATATGGACATACGTTACATATTATAATTACATGCACACAAAAAGACAAGAGAACGTGACTGCATGCTCCCAATTAATGCAGTGTGTACCCAATTGACACCTTATGATGCGTGCAACAATATATTTATGAATACAGGATTTAAACCACGCGTAAAAAATCAAATCGTTAATATTATATACCCAATTGACACCTTTTATGATGCGTGCAAAGTTTTCCATCTGAAACTGATCTTCAAATCTGAAATATGAGAATAAAAATGTCATTACACTCTCTGGTTATTAAAATAATTTAAAAACACAAAAACATGTCACATGTTCACTGCAGTTACCTTTTCATAAAGCTCTATCAGATAGTATACCAGGCAGAGGCCGTCTCATCTGAGGACGCTCACCAATACCAGGCAATGCAGGTGGCTTCATTGAAGTAGTAAGACGTGGAACGGGCAGTGGTTTCTGTTTTAACAAACTATCACTTCGTCTTGGGGTCAAACCCTCCTGCTCTATATCTGGCAAAGCCTTTGGTTTCCAAGGATCACTAGGTCCAAAACCCAAGGCTGCTTGAAAACTCGCCACTTTTGAGGCAAGGTTAGGCGCTGACGTTCTGACATTTAACGGAACAAGAGCAGCAGGTCGCCTGTAATCAGGTGTACGATAGGCGGGCTCGGCCTGTAGTTGATTAACATTTAAGGAAGACTGTTGTGTTAAATCATAATGCGTTTTTAAATCACGGTTTGAATTTGTTGACGACTTCAGTCTTATGTTATTCTGATCGTTTCCACAAAAGGTTTGAGATCTTTCGAGACCGACGCCTTCGTGTGCGTTTTGTTGCGGGCAGATGTCGTCAAGGTAGGAATCCTCGTCTTCAGATGGCTGCGGGTAAGGATCATATGCAGGTGGTATATGCTGTATATTGGGGGAGGGGTCTCTGTTCACGTGATATTGGATATGATTGTGTATTGAGTTTCCCATGGCTGGAACATTGTTCTGTAATATTCATGGGAAATGAGGTTGCATTAGCGGATTAAAAATTGGATCTGTTTAAACTTGTTCCTAAAATTTGCTTGTTCTGAATGATCACTCTGGTCTCTTAGGGCCATGTAGCCTGCGTGACAGGCCCATTAATTGAGCCTGCTACGCAGGCTAAGGGCCATGGCCCATGGTAACGCCGGACTTAAAAATGTAGTCGGCTGAAAAACTATGAAATTTCTACATGAGATGATGGCGATTGTTAGTACTAAATTCAGTGAATTTCCGCGTGGGACGGGCTTCAATTTCAGCCATCTTTGGCTTCAACTGAAATTACACAGCCGGAGTTTTACAGAGTTTACTGGTTTCATGCTTAGCTTAAATTTCTACACGGCCTTATGAAAAGCAACCATTTTAATTATTTGAAACTTTATCACTATCAGAAAACTCTATATATTTTTAGTAGAAATAGGTTGATAAGCTACCGTGTATAAAGAATTTTAAATAATAATAATAATTTAAAGTGGACGAACCGACGAGGGGTCTTCCCGACGAAGAGCCGTCGCGACGAAGGGCCGTCCCGACGAAGGGCCGTCCCGACGAAGGGCCGTCCCGACGAAGGGCCGTCCCGACGAAGGGCCGTCCCGACGAAGGGCCGTCCCGACGAAGGGCCGTCCCGTCGAAGGGCCTTCGCGACGAAGGGCCTTCGCTCGAAACGTCAACGTTTTACTTGACATGTATTTTCAGGTAGTTGAATCCCTACCCGTCTACATATGCTCAAGATTCTACGTTCCTATTTTAAAAAAATCATTTAGCAAATCATGAGGCGTATTATCATAAATTCTCTCAATATGCCCGGAAAGTATGTCATTTGGCCTCGTTTTCGGGTATGCAATATATTAGTTAAATCTACTCCTCTCACTCACGAAAACGAGGCTCTATAGTCAAAGTGATGTACTTCCAGGAAGCGTCTATTCGCTCATACATTGTCAAAGTTTTAATATGGTGAATACACTGCAGACATGTTCTGCAGACATGTTTTTAAACAATTTGCTAAAACGTTGTACACTTTTGAAAATTGGATTGGAAAGAAAATACGAGATGAAGGTATTTATTGACATACGAGCGACCAACTCTGTTTCACTATGGAATCACATTGGAAAATGCGGCACAATCTTGGGATATACAACTATGTATTATGATCAGGGGCGCAACCTGACGGGCATGATCAGGGGCGTACGTATTAGGCGGTGCGAATTATTCTTGCACGACAAAAGGGCGTGGTCATCAATCAATCTGTCATGAAATTCGTGAACTTTTCTTATATGATACTTATAATGATGCTTATTATGATGCATCAGAATCATAAAACTTCGTCTTCGCATGCTTGTGTGTTAGTATCGATTATAACTCCGAGCATTTGCAATTGAAAGTGCTATATTTATAAAATCGACCGGAAGTAAAGTTGACGTTTTTCACCAATCACAGCCCTTGACCCAGTCTTCTGACGTTATTCATGCCGTTCAAAAACGTCACTTGCTTAAATTAAGCTCATCACTAATGATGGTTTTACGCATATCAAATCTCTACACTCTCCTGAACAAAGCAATGTAAGAAGATGTGGGAAAACATACTATATAGTCATTTCAACTGTACAACGCAATCAAACGGGCTATTTTAGTATATTATATATTGGGTGAGCCAGCTCGAGCACAGAGTCGCCCCGATTGACCCGGATCATGCTTAGGCCTATTTTAAACGTCGAATTTCCGTCAAATTTATTTCGTTGAATTTAATGCTGTTTTTATTTAATTCGGGAGAAATGGACGTTTTAATTTGTTTATTCGACGGATTGACAGAAATTGACTTACAATGAATTAATTTCGACGGGAAATCCGACGTCTAAAGTACTGTTTAATAAACGAGCAGGAGTGTTTTATTAGGTTTAAAGCCACGAGCGCGCAGCGCGAGTGCTTTAGACCTAATAAAACACGACCTGCTAACCTTAGACCTAATAAAACACGACTACAAATTCAATAGATATACTGTCTTACTAGTATTCTTTATATAAAGAATACTAATGAGCACACGACTACAATAGATACTGCCTTATTAGCATTCTTTATATAAAGAATACTAATTAGGAGTGTTTTATCAGGTTTAAAGCCACTGCATGCACGTGACATATTATGGTTGAGTGGTTGACATGATTTGCCAATAAGCTTATGAATTATTAATAAAATTTGAAACAGACCTTCCGAATAAGTTGGTATTTTCCATATAAATGCAATGCCCTGGACAAGCCTGGATGAGTATTACAGTGGGCTAGCTTGCCTTCGTATAAACAGAAAGTGTTGCAAACGTTGACTATTGTCGACAAGCTGGCAAAAACTATGGCAGTGAAAACAATAATCTGCAGCAACTCTAGTTCATAAACTAATTGACGAGAGTTCATTCAAAATATTTCCCTGTCCACTTACTTCAATATGTGCTCCATAGCCAATTCCCGAAGCTGACCGTGACTGCAATTTCGAGCCGTTTGTTGGAAGTTGTAACGTTGCTCCAAAACCTGAGTACGAAACTTGTCTGCGAGGTGAAGCTATAATGAAAATATTTTACCTCAAATATAAATTGTTCAATAAAAGAAACAGCGTTTGTACCACATGACACCGTGATTTTTTACGGTATTCCACCCAATTTTATGATTACACAGATCTGCCGTGAGATATTATAACCACGCGCTTAGCCTTAGCATAATGAAAAAATATGGCGCTCTCGTGCGTAAAGATTTCTTAACTAAATTTACTTAATTATTAAATAGCTAAAGATTTTCACGTGGATATTAGAAGGTATGTTAATTTCAATTATCCAAAGGATAAAGGTTCAACTATTTTAAAGGAGAAACGTCAAAACGTGTTTAAAATATATTGACTTGGATCTCATTAAGATTCGATCTCATTAATTAACAATTATTCGCCGATGGCGAGGTGATTATCGGTGAATAAAAACCGAGACGAAGTCGAGGTTTTTATTCACGATAATCACCGAGCCTGAGGTGAATAATTGTTTTAGTATAATTTCATAGGTGATTATTTGGAAAAAAATAAGAAAATACACATTTCTTCGTCATTTAACTGACAAAAAGGCTTCGGCCGCCATTTTGAAAATCGCTTAGGTGATTATCGCGTAATAATCACCTCAACGGCAACCAATCAGCGTGGAGAATTTTCAATAATCACCTATGTAATTATACTAATTTTAATTAACGGTGGTTTTCATGACGTCGAAATCAGCGTACTAACATTTTTATTGCTATAAGCCTATATAAAAAGGCTTTGAAATGACATTTCTTACTCGATCATAAATACTTTCCAAAAGTGTAGTAAATTGTCACTATCACTAGGATAATTCAGTTCTTCATTATTTTTAATATTGAGCTATATATTATGTCATTTTTGCTATATTTAGATCACTTTTGCCATTCAAAATAAATATTTCATCGCGAAAAAGACAAGAAAATTATGCAGAGAGTAGCTATATTCAATATATTATAACTAATTGTATATCTTTCTTTGTTATTTTTCGCGATGTTTCAGCTAAAATAGTTGACATTGAAGGTTAGTCATAGAAATGATGCCATGCATACCTGATCTAGGTTTAAGAAATACGTCATCCCTGAGCTTTTCAAGACATCTTGTTCCGCGTTCTTTACTCTCGTATAGTTTCTCATCTTGCTCTTTCTGTTGTTTCTCAAGTTCTTTCTGTAAAATCTTCTGAGTTGCAACTTGTCGAGTTGCATTAGTCGGTTTTATTCCTCGCATAATGTTGCGTAGTTGTGTCATCGCGTATGAATTGGGATCAGGGCTTGCTCTTTTGGGTGGAGGCGAAGGAGTGATCATGGCTTCGGGGGCAGTAATACTGTCGTTTAAACGCATTCCTGAAAACAACGCAGCTAATCCCGAAGTCATCTTTTCTTCCATTGTTTCGTCTGTATTTGGATTTTCATCTAGTATGTTTCTATCTTCTAAATAGGAGAATGGATTTACCACAATTTTTATTGATAGAAACGTTTTCTACAACTACCACTCTGCCTAAAATAGATAAAAACACTTCTCGACGTCCGTCAAATAGACGTCTTGGTCTGGAGACACAGAAGACTACTTAATTCTTTTGTGTTTTTATGTCTTTCAGTGAGTGGTGAATGTACTTCACAGAACATTGTATAATCTAGGCCAAGCTTACGTCGCTCTCGACGCTGACCTCCCAAGTTTAATTTATTTTATTGAAGATGACCTTCTAGGTCTTCATTTTCATGTTCTTCTAATTGTGTGTTCCAACTTAAACAGAATGCATGATAGTGTTGGAAAAGCATGAAGAATAGCTAACAAAAGTCACATGACAGCGCCTACTCTCCTGCCCTCCCATTTCCGTTGGATTAGGGGTTTAAATACAGGGCTTTCAACTGGGTGTCCGTAATCAGTTCTCTTAAAATTCAAGACAATTGTCATGATGGTGTTCTAAGTTGATGCGTCATAGTCAGTGAGCAATAATATCGATCGAGCCATTTTTCTGTCAATTATTTGAAATAGACCATTTCGGCCTCTCAGCCTAGTCAGACCTGGTCAGTCATGTGAATTAACCCCATGGAGCCCTCGATAAAACAGAGGGAAGAGTAACAATGGTAATTGTTGTTCCCTTACCTCTATTGTTTAAATTTGTTGAGTCATCTATCTGGTTTGTAGCTAACAATGTATCTTTATTAAAACCACGGTAACGGTTCGCTTCTTGTTCTGTGACGTTTTCGTGACTTCGGTTCGTCGTTTCACCTCCCATTGACATATCATCTGATATAGAACTAAATAAAAAAATCATTAAGGGGATTATTAAAATGGGATCCGACAAACCATTTAGGAAATTAATGACGATCTAAAATTTCTATTCCTGAATCTCTGTCAAGTGTCTGCTGTTAATATACATCTCATATTCAGACCTGTGTGCACTGTTCCTCAGATCGTGAATTTGGTTTTACCAAAATTTCCTCAAAATGTTGGTAAAAACAATGAAATTGTTTCACTTCAGTTTGTTTATGTGTGTGCTTGCGCTAGTGTTTACTTATCACCAAGATAACTCAAGAACTATAAAACAGTTTAATAGGGAAATTTGTTGTGCTAATATCTGTAGGCCAAAAACAAATATAGACAAATTTTTGCTTACATTTGGATGGATTTGGATGAGAAATTTACAAAAGATTCATGCTTAATCAGTGCACACAATTTTAGTATTGCTGACAGAGGTACAGTATATACATTCTCTGGGTATCCTCTAGTTTTCCAATAAAATCGAAATTATTCAAACTCCTTTACAACTTGTTTTTTGGTTTCAAGATGCTAATAACCAGATTATGTTTTGCTCCTTATTTTGTGACTATATGTGCTGTTATTGGGTTATGGACTTAAATGAAACTAAAGTTGCCCTAAATAGTTCTTACCTGATGTCTGACAGAGTATTTAATTGGTAATCTGGATCCGCTATCATATCTTCGTCTGCATGATCCATTTTGTCTTCTCTTTTCGGTGTCTTTAAACCACTATCTTTGTTTGGACTTGGTAGATCTACTTTAAATTTAAATTTGGTTTCCTTTGAAACATTCGAATTTGAAGTATTATTTGCTTTATCTCCATCATGATTTCTATTATTGATTACTTGTCTATCAAATTCGTTTCCCTTATTCCTCGTTTCTCCACTAACTAATTCCCTTCGGCTTGAGAATCCGTCTTTCAAAGCGATCTTCTCGTTCTTCGGGTTATATTTTCTTGCACTAGAAGAATCGTCGCCACGAAGTACAAAGTCATCTTCTAAAGCCATCTTTTGTCGTCGAATGTTCTTTATTTCATCTTCAGATATACTGCTTTCAATAAACATTGGTTTAGAAGTTTCTGTAGCCTCACTTGAATGAATATTTCTGCTCGTACTGAGAGAATCTTCACTACAAAGTACGAAATCGTCTTCTAAAGCGATCTTTTGTCGTCCAATATCTTTCACTCCATCTTTAGAAATCTTTGTTTCAAGAAGTGATTTTCTTCCAACTTCTTTCTCTTCATTTGGGTGGAAACCGTCACTTGGATAGACATCTTCACTGGAAGGATCACTTTGAAATACAAGATCCTCTTCTAAAGCTATTTTTGGTCTTCGAGCATTGTGTATTTCATTGTCAGATGCCCTGCTTTCGATAAAAGGGTGTCTATTAAGTTCTTCCTCCTCGCTTGAATGTAGATGGAGTTTCAAGTCATCGCCCGAAGGAATGATTTGACGTGGAAAAGTGTTTACTTCATTTGTAATAATCTTTTCTTCAGTTAAATTTTGTCTCTCAAATTCGTGCTCTCTAGCTGAAACGACATCTTCGCTTTCACTTGAAAGATTTTCCCTACATAATTCGACATCATCTTCCAAAGAAATATTTTGGCATCCAACGTTCTTTGTTTCATCGGCAGAAACTTTTTCCTTAGCTAAAATATTATCATTATTTTTCGCAGTTAACCAGACACTGCCTTTCAAAAAATTGTCCGCTGAAACTTCGTCCTTTTCCGGCAAAACCTCGTTGTAACTCGAGGTAATTACATGGTCATAACTCGGGGTTACATCGTTATATCCAGGGTTAATCCTGTTGTTACTTAGCGTAACTCCGTCGTTATACTCCGATGTGGGTTCTTTTGTACTAGGTGTAACCTTTCTGTTACAGGCGGATAGTTCATCATAACCAGGAGTAACTTCACTGTGACTCGAGTATAATTCATCGCAGGTTGATTCTGATGTCCCACCATTCATTTTCTGATAAGAACTCTGCTTCGACTTGAGCGATTGTTCAACTAACCCAATATGATCCAAATTCTGTCCAGAATGCTGTTCGTTCGCGAACATTACATCTTTTACTTCCGAAGACCTAACGTCACACAAGTTCTGAGCAGAAGACGTTTGTTTTCCTGGAGTGATGGCCACGACATCAACATTTCCAAAAATAATTTCCTTAAAACCTTTTTGTTGACTTTCAATCTCAGGCATCTCTGTTTCCTGGAAACTAGATTTAACATTTGCCAATGATTGAGTTTGGTTCGTGTCTCTCGTTCCATCAATCATTATATTCAAATCTTCTCCTAGTTTCGTTCTAGATACTTCCGGGTGCGTCAACGCCTCGTGTTGTAAATTATTTTCGACATCAAATGAGTTTCGACTGTTGGATTTGCCAGGGAGATCTAAATGTTCACTACTGTTGTCTTGTATTGCTTCTGCTGCAAATATTGGGACGTCATTGCTTACTTGTGGTTCTTGTTTTTGTAAACTTTGCTTTACAGGAACGCTCAAAGCTCCTGGAGTCAGGCAAAATTTTGCTTCTGTTTCATGCTCAAAGAGTTTTTCGTTTCCGAATTCCTCTATTTCTTCTACTGTGGCTATGTCCTCCACCAAACCTCCTTCGACGTAGGACAGGTTATCACTAAACGACGTATCAAATTCAGCTTCACTGATATACCCACTCTTATCTTCAGGGGAAATATTTCTTTCTGAGGACCTTGAAATACATTTGATATTTTCGTGGAAAGGAAATGTTCCTCCAATGTAAGAAGAATAATTAGGTAAAGGCATGTTCTTATAACCATCACTAGAACTTGAATTGTTCGATTGAGCTAAGATATCTCTTTCTACAGTGGTCTTGAAATTCATCTGCCCATAAAAGGCACTTTCTTGTAAGCTAGGTTCGGGCGATGACATATATTCACTACAAGTTGTGTCCATATCAGGAATGACAAGATTAGGACTTTTTCTATCACTTGAACTCTGCTCTAACGAAGTCGTTGTACTATCTTCTTGGAAGGTACTCTGTCTTGCGAGTGATTTTGTAAACGATGGAAGGGAATTGATTTGGAGATTTGTAAATACAGTGCTGGGATATGGCAATTCCATCTTAGGTGAAATGTATTCAAATTTTTCTTGCATTAACTCACTATGCAGAACTTTGGGTTCTTGACTTTGGAGGCCGCAAAGTGGCCCTTTGTTTCGTTGTTTTTCCATTTCATATAGTATATCTCCACTCTGGTTTTCATCATTAACCTTCATACAACCTTCTCCGTTCACTGCGTTCTCCACGTCGTACAATTCTTCCTCCGCAAAATCTTGATGAACGTTTCGCACTTCATCTTTATCTAGGACTCTATACTTCCTTTCTGTTCTGTTACTGTTATCATTCATTGCTAGATCGCTTACGTTCGTACGTGCCACGTGTAGATTCTGGTAACTGATTCTGGTCGATGTCTGTTGATCTTCAACTATGTTGTCTTCTACGTTGTTAAAGTCTTTCACAACGTTAATATTCTTCTGATTTTGACGAAATAATTTGTTACGGCCGAGATTTAGTTTTTCACCTAACCTTGGTTTCCATGTGTTTTCTACCTTGAAAACTCTCTCTGAACCTGTTTTGTGCTGCTCTACTTGTGTTAAAAAATCTTCGTCAAATAAAGAAAAATTTAGTATATCTTCATCATCAATATTTCCCGTCGACTCTATTTCTTTTTCAGCGTCCTGTTTAATGACATATTTGGTTTTATAGTCTTCGTCAATGCCATCATTTACTTTAGTTAACATTTTATCATTCACCGACACATCGTTGAACTCTTGTCCCGTAAAACGTTCTCCCTTTTGAATCTCAGGTAACATTAAACCTGGTACACACTTTTCCAGAGTCCTTCCTTCGTCCATGTTTTTAAAACCATCATCTAACAATTCTTCAACAATTTTATCAAAATCTCCTAGTTCATAATAATCTTCGTCTCTTTCCCTTTCTATTTGATTCTCAAGTACGTCATTTCTCTTACCCTGAACTATTTCTTCATCGTCTTCATTGATAACTCCGTTACGAACCTTACGAAGGCGATCTAGTACGTCAATTTCAGTTTCTTTGCTTTCAATTTCAGCTACGCCGCTTACTTCAGCTTCCCTATCCACAACGTTTCTTTCGAGATCATCATCCAACAGTTTTTTAATACTTTCGTCAAGATCTGTTTTATCATAGCATTTTTTGTTGTTTTCTCCCCCAATTCCTTTACCGAAATCTTTATCCTTGTATATCCCAATAATCGAGTTACGATCTTTTGTATTATATGTGATAATTTCGGATTCAATTTCAGACACAACGTCTGAACCAATCTTCGTATTATTTTCAGTTGTGATCATTCCTTTGGTACCAACAACTACTTGATCGCATGAAGACCCTGGCTCAGAAGACTGAAAATCTTTGGGCAGCTTCATCTTCCGAATGTCATTTCGAAACACTAAATTGTTTTTACTAAAATTTACTCTCTCTCTCCCAGATTCGGACACTATGGGTCTTAAATTGGTTTTAAATTCTTTTCCAAGTCCTTGTTGTAACTCATCCTGCACTATTTTATTTTCCATTAACATCCCATGCTCTATTTCAGCTGATTCTTTGACAGAATCTTGACATGATATGACAGTTCGTACGGCTTCATTCTCGCTAACTCCCTCAAGATCTTGTCCTGTTGCTTTAGATTGGTTGGCTTCAAATTCCACTCCACTCTTATTGAAATTAACTTTTGCTAATCTCCCATCGTTGCCAAATGTAATCTCTTCAACACTATGCTTAGGGTCCTGCTTCTCACCATCAGATAAGACTTCATCATCACCTAATCTTGAAACAATTTCTGATTCATTTCCAGATGCAACGTCATGTCCAGTCTGTACATCAAGGTATGCAGTCTGGTCCTCACTGTCAGAAACCAATTGACTGGAATGGATTGCTTTAGAACATTGAGAGTCCTTATGTAGCTTAGAAACAACTTGATCATCATGCATACCTGACATGATTTCAGATTCAATATTAGATACCATTAGATTATGACTCGAACAGATTGCCGTAGAATATTGAGACTTCTTGGGTAGATTAGAAAAGAGTTCATCATCAAGTAAGCCTGACTGAATTTCAGATTCAATTTCAGATACAACATTCATGCCAATGTCTGTGTCTCCAATATTTTCTTCATGATCAGAGAGCATTTGATCACTCAAATAGCATACTTCAGAGGATCGAGACGTTTTGGGTTGTTTATGGATCTTTCGTAAATATTTTCGAAACACCAAGTCCTCGTTAAGAAAAGAAATTCTGTTTCTTTCGGATTCGAATGAAATAGTTTTCAAATCATTCGATATTTTATTTTTTTTATCATGTGACAACTTACTTGCGTCATTAGTAGAAAGGCACTTCTCAATTCCACTAGGTAATTCCTCATTATCTTTCACAATTTGGGGAGACATTTGCAGACAATCTGGTGAAGTATTCAACGAGTCTAGCTCACGACTTTCATCTCCTTGTGTACTTTTCACCCCACCCATACTGACCAAGGTCTTTATTCTGTGCCGTAAGATATCTTCCATATCAGAATTCTGATTCAGAAAAACCGTATCCATATCATACCTGGTCAAGAAACCAGAACCTTGTTGAGTGGTATCACTTACTTGTGAAGTTTGTTCCTTATCACTTGTTTTCTTAATCCCATTGCCAGTTAGAACGTCACCAGTCTTGCTTGAGCTATTGATACCCATATTATTTGCACCAATCAAAACAGAAGCATCCATATTGGAGGTTTTTAGTATACCATCAGTTATAATGGTAGTAGGTCTTGACTGGCTTGAACTGGTGATGCTCTCATCATTTGAGCCAGCTAGATAAGTACTAACTCCAATGGAACTTTTCCCATTACCTACAATGTTCTCTCTATCAAGGACACAATCAGACTGCAATGTATGTGGTATCGATTCTTTTAAGTTGGTAATGTACAGGTTGCTTTTATCAACTTCAATTATACCAACGACATCAGTATTCTGTTTTACAATTTTATTACCCGTCAACATGATATCAGTAGCAATATCTGTAGCACTATTTCTTGGTACGCTCATATTCAACATGCTTGAGCTGTTGATATGTCGATCATTTGACTCAAGAAGAAAACCACCAACCAAGTTACAACTTCGTCCGTTTATATTATCCTTCTCTCCTTCGCCAACTGATTTTCTTTCCAGAATATTTGTTTCAGATTCAGTAGCAGATTTATCTTGACAAATCACTGTCATCATGTCTTCAATATCTTTATCAATCACTTCGCTTGAACCTAGTCTTTTAGTTACCACCCTATCAGAAAGGCCTCCTAGAGTCTTGGCACTGGGAGCTTGCTGATCAATTGCCCCCGCCATAACAGTTGGGCAGAGAATGGTATTTAGTTGAGGTTCGGGTGGCACGCTATGAACATCGGAAATGCCGTTTTTATAATTTCGATCCTTAAATGTGACAATTTGTTTCAATGATGCTTCTCTTCGAATATCATTTTCCAACATATTGTTGAACTGGTCTTTAAGTGGTGGCATTTCTTGATATTCACTTGTTGCATTACGACTAACAGGAAGATTATTAATATAATCTGTATCGTAATGCACAGAAGGAACACTTCGTTTCAGAGTAATTTCATCACACAGTTTGATGCCCGTATCCTTTGTTTGGATAGAACTAACCACCTCAAGATTCTGCTCCATACAAATAACTTTCTTTGTATTATCAGTAAAATCTCTGGCTTGAACATCAATATCAGTCTGTAGTTGGTTATATTTTGACTCAATGTTGATATTTCCATTTGTTGTAATGGTGTTATTGCTGTTGTTTAGTTGAGCTTTTTGCTGCAGTCGAGCTTGTACCTTGGTCGGGTTTGGTATCACGCTGTGATCGTCAGCTTGTCTGATAAGATATTTGGATTTTTCAGGATCACAAATTTTGGATTGATGTTCTTTGTGTTTCTTCTCATTGTTCCTTGACAACGTGCGTGTTTCGTCTTCGATGTCTAAAAACAATTAAACTATATACATTGCCAAACGTTATCGAAACATGCCGAAGGAACTCTGTCCCTATATCCAGCAAAATTGTTCACAAAAGTTTCCCATTGCGTCAGAACACTGATTGGCATAAATACACAAACAGTTACAAGAGTTTTACACAAACAAAGGCAGTCTTCATTCAGAGAAAGAAATGTGTTCTAAATTTTGAAATTCTCGAATTAATCATATATAACTCTATTCCTTTAGATTTCAACAAGTCTAGACAAAAATTTTATCACAGCTTGAAAGAGCATCACAAAATTAGTAGGTCCATTGGACCTTTCACCTTTTGACTAAAATTTAGATTTCAACAAGTCTAGACAAAAATTTTATCACAGCTTGAAAGAGCATCACAAAATTAGTAATATTTCGAAGTTTCGTTGCGAAATGTTGTAAAATGCGGATAATATAGCCTTGCGAAGTTTGCAATTTTCAGTCATTTTGTATTACAAACGGGAAATACATACCCCTTTTCCGAAGGAGGTATGTATTTCCCGCGCGTAATACAAAATGACTGAAAATGGCAAACTTCGCAAGGCTATATTATCCGCATTTTACAACATTTCGCAACGAAACTTTGGAATATTACTAATTTTGTGATGCTCTTTCAAGCTGTGATAAAATTTTTGTCTAGACTTGTTGAAATCTAAATTTTAGTCAAAAGGTGAAAGGTCCATTGCTTTTTGTCATCCTTTTATTTCCATGTTATTTATTAACATTTTTATTTATTCATAGTTCGACCAGCAGCATAACATTATGCTAAAGGGCTCCCGACTTGAACTGAAGTGGACCCCTTCGTCTTGCCTATAATATACAAAGTGGCCATGTGGTGACGGGGGCGAGGCGAGGGAGACGCCAGTAATATGTAAAATTTGCTGAAACGCTTTAACCCTTATTGAACTGGGTCTCGAGGGGCCCATACGCCACTGTATCTGCCATTTTAACCTCTTTAAATTTGGAAACAATTACTGAAATTCTCGTACATATAATTTATCTTACCTTCAACAAAGATATCTTCTTCACGTTTTAAAACCATGTCGTGATTGCTGTGCTCACGTTTTTGTGTGTCCTGAAAAAAATCTTTCATTTGTTATTTCTTCTCAATTATTTAAGTTGTTTGATGTGCAAATGTCATACTTATTACATTGTATTTACCATTGTATAATTTATGCATGATACATAACTTAATTCGCTGGCGGAGCCGAGTGCCCTCCAGTTTGAATAATGTCCTTCCTCCATCACAACCTACCTTATATTTAAGCTGCTCTAGATCATCATGGAGAGCTTTTAACTTTTGTTTTACATTCTCGTCACCAGCTTCCTGAAACGACATAAATGCACCGCGAGATGCAAAGACGTCCACGCGGGCTTCAAGCATTCGCTGACGTCTTTCGATGGATTTAATTATTCGTGGCAAGCCTGTTCGCAGGTGCTTTGACTCATTGCGTAGCTCCCTGAGTTCATTATGAAGGTTTCTTAACTTATCAGGCATAGGCAAGCTGGTGAATTGTGATGGCGGTTCAAAACCTAAAGAAATTAAAAATCTTTTTAAACTCGCAACTTTTGTTAGTCTAAATGAAAGCCCTTAGGCCTGACTTCTGTTTGGTCACGGTCAAATCGTCACGCGTGGTTATTGCTGTTAATATACTCCATGACACGGTCACCGGCTATTTGCACCACTCGACGATGATAAAAATTTTTACCTGCAACTTTCTTCTCCTAAATCGTGAACTGTCCCTGAGTTTTTAGAGTTAAAAACGGACTATGCTGGTCTACATTGGCTGGAAGGAAATGTGAACAAATCCCTATGATTCATATATGATTATGTATAAATTTACATAATTCAGTATATATGATTAATAACATAATTTCAAATAAGCCAACCGTTCTTATCAGTGTACAAAATAGGCAATGTAATTAAATTTAATAAAAGTAAAACCCAGAAATTGTCCATTTCCCAAAAATATTCTAAGAAGTTTCGTTACTTTCTCCGCCAATATTTGACCAACGGCAAAATGTACTTGTAATGATCAATTTAGTTAGAATTTTTATTGACTAGGTGCAGTGACAATTCCCGCATCCTCGTCACCATTCAGTGTACAAATGATTAATTAAGAAAAGGAATTAGATAAAAAGAAGAAGAACCTTCTGGCTATAAATTTATTGAATACATACATACCTAATGGTACAATCGCCGCATTAGATGTATTTTCGGTTCCTCGTACATTGGTGGGATACTGATTATAGCCATTGGTTTTTGGATCAACACCAAAAAGCCAGCGATTGCACTGAAATATATGTAATGTAATCAATACATTGTCAATTTATCACTAATTCTTGTGTAACATTTACCAATTTACGAATAAATACGCCTTTTCTATAATTACGTCATGAATATGTTCTTGGCCTGGAAGCCTCATTTTCATGAATCGTGTGCCAAATGCCTTCCGTCTTTATTCACGAGAGCGAGGCTCCCAGGCAAAGAACGTATTCATTACGTAATTATCGAAAAGGTGTATTCAGCACAGTGCAACTCACTGCAATCGTGGTTCATGCAGCAGGATATCAGTACCAACAATAGAGGTGCTAATGGCAATAAAGGAAGAGCAGTACATCTCGTGACAGTCTGTGAAAGCTTCAGATTTGACTTCCACTACCGTTACCATTAAGGTACTATCAACCAATCACTGGACTAAGCCAGTGAGAGGTAGTGGTAGTGGAAGTCAAATCTGAACCTCTCTAATATTTGATTAGTGCAGGACAAGTTGAAAGCTATATAAAGATTGTAAAACTACACCAACCGCATATAATATCAGACATATTTTGCTACTCAGGCTTTCGCGTAAATTAATGTATTTCTTCAACAAATGACTAATGTTAGTAGTAATATAGAGGCCGATCGATCCGGATTTTTGAGGGTGCGTAAGGGTGCACTAATTAATATTCATACAAATGACGGTGCGTAAGGGTGCGTAAGGGTGCGCTAATTAATATTCATACAAATGAGGGTGCGTAAGGATGCTGAGGGTGCGCTAATTAATACTCGTACAAATGAGGGTGTGTAGTGACGTCACTCATTAGCATACGTTATAATTATATACAATGACGTCACGCGGGCAAGTTTAAACACGATCGGGCGAAACTTGCTGACTACGCATTTTTTAGCGTCCCTCCGCGTGTGTGATACAATAGAGGGATTAATCTTGGCTTACTATGAATAGTTCGTGTCCCTCGCATGGCAAAATTGTTATCGAAATTAATATATATTAGTTATATGAGTTATAGCCGTATCTTTGCTCGGAAGAGATAAATTTCCACAGGTATATTGAAGGATTTTTCGTATGTTTACAAAATTATAGCGAGGCTAGGAATCTATTCGTCACAAAAATCAAGACATATTTTAAACAGAACTAAACAGTTCCTAATCCCAGGTTAACATGGTTGTCAACGTCGTTGTTATGATCAATATTTGCATGTTGTTCAAGATTATTTAGCAAACTTCCTACATACATATATACTGTTAAGATGACCGAGTCAGATCATAAGAAAGCTTATCAAGAATACTTGAGCGAAAAACTTTTAGAACAGTTGTAATATATTTTGCCATAAAAAATAAATATGTTTTTATCAAATATGCATGCGGTAGTTATATACGTTGCTATGTGTTGCTAAGTCATTAGAAGGTGTGTAGCTAAGTGTATCCCAATGGATAGATAGGGATAATTTATAACGCAGGTGTATACCTTAAAATCGGGCGCGAGGCTTTGTGGGCAAAACTTTACACAAGAATTTAGATTTAAAACACATTTATTTCTTTAAGTACTACAAAGTTAATAATCTTGTCTGTATAAATATAATATTATCCACTTAAGAGTTTTGTCCCGTTTTTGTTTCTAACTTTAACCACTCCTTTGAGCCATCATTCATTTCTGTATTGTCCACGTTCTTTGCATATTTTGTATTTAATTTTGTTCTCTTCCTGGAGGATTTTGGTTGACGGATGGGTATATTCTTTATCCCGCTTTTATTCCACTTTGACTGCTTTTTACTGTTCCCAATTAATCTGTACAACTCTGTTAAAACATTTTCTAAGTCTAAAACGGTTAGTGGAAAATAGCTACCACACAGGATCGTATTTTATTTTTATAAATCAAACACAAACAACCATTAAGAGTCAATATCACTACGATACCGTGTGTTTCTGAAAAGTCTTTTCAAAAGAAATTTTCTCTTGTCAATAGCGGCCTCTAACGCTTCTCTGTGGCCGAAATTATCATCATTGACAAAGACATCCCTGGTTTCCATAATCTTTTTGTGTATTGGATCTCTGTTTAGTTGTCTTATCCATAGTAGACGTTCCAAATAAATATTCTGCAAATCTTTACGAAGTTTTGGTAGGATAAGTAAATATGCCTTGTCTTTAGCTTCGTTTTCGTCAAAACCTTCTGCAGTGAAATTCTGCGTTAGTTCTTCGAATTCCGATAAACTTTAAAAGGAGCCCATGGATCGCTTTCGTATTCATCACCTACTTCACTACAAGTATCATCTACATTATCAGAATCATTCTCTGGTACAGAATCAGTTTCCACTTCGTTGTCTGTGTTATACGAATTCTCAACATCACTCTCTGATGTAGCACTATCAGAGTCTGCAACCGTTCTCATTCTTTTCATCTTTACACTGAAATCTATAGTAGGTTTCCAACAGTATTATATTTCCTTCGTATATTGTTAGGTTGAAACAACTCCAACCACAAGCAACCGACGAAGGATCAATTTTTAGAACAACATTACATTTTATGAAGTGGCCTTAAGGGACATTTCTATGGCCCGATTGGTGATTGGCTAGGCTACTTCCCACCAAACCTCCCCACCAATAGGATTCTAGAGAATCGGGCCACAACAAAGGCCGTTGGGCCCAACGTGGAAAGTGGCCCCAAGGGCCTTTTCTATGGCCTTGTGGCCCGATTGGAGGGAAGCATCTATCCTATTGGAGGGAAGCATCCCAGCCAATCGGGCCACAAGGCCATAGAAAAGGCCCTTGGGGCCATTTTTCACGTTGGCCCCAAGGGCCTTTTTTATGGCCTTGTGGCCCGATTCTCTAGAATCCTATTGGTGGGGAGGTTTGGTGGGAAGTGGCCCAGCCAATCACCAATCGGGCCATAGAAAAATCCCTTAAGGCCACTTCATAAAATGTAATGTTGTTCTAAAAATTGATCATTCGCCGGTTGCTTGTGGTTGGAGTTGTTTCAACCAAACAATATACGAAGGAAATATAATACTGTTGGAAACCTACTATAGATTTCATAACGTATGCTAATGAGTGACGTCACTACACACCCTCATTTGTACGAGTATTAATTAGCGCACCCTCAGCATCCTTACGCACCCTCGTTTGTATGAATATTAATTAGCGCACCGTTACGCACCGTCATTTGTATGAATATTAATTAGTGCACACTTACGCACCCTCAAAAATCCGGATCGATCGGCCTCTATATTACTACTAATGTTTCTGAATTGCTCCGCAGAAAAAACCCGTCGGTGGGTCAATTTTTATAGCTCTAAAGCAGGTTGAAATAGATCAGTTTATTTTGAAATACTGTTTGAAACAGAAACATGTTACAGCTTAGCCTCCTCCGCAGGCTCCCCAAATTTCTCGTCACTTTAGGAATCATTCTTAAAAGTTATCTCACTTTAGGAATCATTCTTCCCTACAGCACGGTCAAAAACAGTAAATTTGCTTAAAAGCACCCAGAATACAAGGCAGAAATCGGAGTTTTTGCTAAACAGTTGCCAGCAGAGGAGGCTAATTATTGCCGTCAATCAGCATCCTTCGTAGGTGATATGCATCTACCTGTTCACGTCGTTCTTTCAAATAAACATCGACTTCATTCGCATTGAAATCTTGATACAACTCTTGAGCAGATATGAGATCGTGCTTGTGCGGAATGTCAAGGCCAAATACTAAATGATTTGGAAACAATGTATTGTAAACGGTTTGTGATTCAGTTGATGGCTGTATAAGCAAAGACAGCAAGACAGCGCCTGAGAGTTAAAATAATAGGATGCTGTGCAGTGTCCTGGAGCATGCGCAAAGCAAGGGCACCACAAGCGCGAAGACATACTATTCACGGAATTTTCGCGCGGAGCGGAATTTCTAATTGTCCAATTTCTAATTAGTTCCACCCGAGAAATCACAAGACAAAGAGAAATTCCGCTCCGCGCGGTGAAAATTACGCCTAGTGAAAAACGGCTTAAGGGGATATCTAAACCGCAATCTGTCTTTATTGTGAAGTTGTCTATGGAACTTTCACTTTTCTGGAGCACTCTATTTTCCTTGTGAGTTATGATGAAGGTCTGATTCCACGCGCGCTTTTCATTGGCGAAATGCGAAAAATTTCGTGCGAAATGAATTAGATGCATGCGCACTTGTAAGTTGTAAAGATAATAAAATTAGGCTTCTCGAGAAAAAATTTCGCTTCGCCAGTGAGCAGAAATCAGCTAATCGACTCACTGCGAAAGAGAAAAAAGTGGAACATTCAATAGAATCAAATTTCGCAGACGCAATTTCTCGCGAAGAACCAGGCCTTGAGAAGTTTCAGGGAATCCCTAGTATTTATGTGCCAGCTAGTAAGCAATTAAAACACAAAATATTGTGTTGCAATGTTGTTACAACATACCATGACGTTTCACTGGCGATGTTTGAACAACATTGGCCAATCTTTTCTCCCAGAATTCCTCGTCCTCTGACGCAGACTTAATACGATCACCAACCATTAAACTGGGATAACCACTGTCAAAGACACATAGACCATTCCATTTGATTGATGGTGGAAGAGATCGTTTTAATTTATCCTTCGATGGTTTCATCCTCTAACATGTTGAGTAAAATAAACAATATTTGTGGTACTGTTAGATATTGCGTTCAGTGTCTGGTGAAAATGTTAAGAGGAAAGTCAGTTTTTATTATTACAATGCTAAGTCGATCCCAGACTCCACCGACAAATTAAACACTGTTCCATTTCAAGTAATACATGCATTAATAACTCATGTGTAGAACTCTAGAAAAATCAAGATTGTGTCGTTGTCTTGGAACCATAAAGATCCGTAAATTATCTCATGCATACAAACTGTAACAAACTTCATTCATTATAGCGATTCTAAAACAGCTCAAAGTACGTTAAAAGTTCGGTATGCGCCTGGCTATTCAATGAAGCTTTTCGATCTTCAAATCTTGAAAATAAAATCCTCCTGGGTGTATAATATATTAAATGAACAAAATTTTTTTAAAAATTAAACAATTTTCAGATTAAGATTCAGACTTCGTGAATTCAGTCCATTTATCATTTGCACTACACTGGTTCGAGAAAAGAGAAATTGTTGAGAGTACGATCAGCTTTGAAGTGGTCGAGACTCACCATCGCTAATGCTCTAACTCGAGAACTGTCGCCACGAGCCTCGTTCTCAGTCTCTTGAGTCTTCACTACATCCGAAACAAACTGCTTGTTTGTTTTCAGAGAAACCGTCGTGTCACTTGATGATGATGCACTCAATGATTGAAAACAATCTTGGAAATCATCGGAAGAAGTGGTGTTGAAAGTTACACTTCGCAAAGGACAACAAGAAGGTCGATCATGTGATGAATCAGACGGTTCAGGTGATGGAGACGGTACAGGTGTTAGAGGGCGGAGTGAACTAATGTCATCTGGCGATGGCACAGGCTTGAGTGTGGAGTTAAGATGAAGGTTGAATACCTGAATAGACGAATAGATGATGACGTGCTTAGAAATGACTCGTTTATGAGTAAAAGAATTCCAGCATTTGGCAAAATTCAATATTATCAATCTATAGAGCCTCGTTTTCGTAATTGAGGTATTGGATGAAGACCCTATTAATTTTATTTTATTATAGATGACATATTTACGAAACCATACAATTATATTAGTGAATATAAAAGATCTATTTGTGATTATGTCATCAGTAACAGGAATTAGGAGTTCTAAAACCAATGTCTCAATCACGGAAACGAGGCTCCATAGCCATGGATCTAAAGATAAAAGACGTGCCATAAGATTCAAAAAGCAAGGTTCAGTTACCAGAATATCAAACCTCCATTCCAGATTCAATTTTTCTTCCAATATTTTGCTTATATTTTAGAGAAAAGGAACTTGACTGGGGGAGAGGGGGGGGGGCAAAATCGTTGACTGGGGGTCACCATGGGGGCTGGGAGGGCTTTGCCCCCCTCCCTAGTGATATAGTTAAAAAAGCCCTGCTCACATTGTTCGAAACTCACCTTCGCTAATGCTCTTACTCGAGTACTATCGCCGCGAGCCTCGTCCTCAGTCTCTTGAGTCTTGACTACATCCGAAACAAACCGCTGGTTCTTTTTCAGAGAAACCGTCGTGTCACTTGATGATGATGCACTCGACGATTGAAAACAATCTTGGAAATTATCGGAAGAAGTAGTGTTGAAAGTTACACTTCGTAAAGGACAACAGGAAGGTCGATCATATGATGAATCAGACGGTTCAGGTGATGGAGACGGTACAGGTGTTAGAGGGCGGAGTGAACTAATGTCACATGGCACTGGTGGAGGAGGCTGGCGTGAACTCGAGGGCTTCGGTTGAAACGACTCATCTGGCGATGGTACAGGCTTGAGTGTGGAGTGAAAAGGAAGGTTGAATACCTGAATAGATGATGATGTGCTTAGAAATGGTTCGTTTACTAGTTATGGAAATTCTAGCATAAAATTAAATTGATATTATCAATTTTATCTCATATGTAGTGTATTAGCGGCATTCCTATTGGCTACGAGGAGGTGCGTTCAATCTCGAACCCACCTGCTGACGTATGTTTAGGAGCACATGCAATTTGTGTAATTCTTGAATCGTACTCAAGTTTTATTATTATTTTTATGAATCATCAGACGTACTCTTGCGCAAGGATGCTGGGATGTTTGGGGATGAATCTGGGTCACCCTAAAGGGTTCTGAAGATTGATTTACCTCTGAATATGCTAATTTTTTGCCAAGCTTGCAAACGTTCTTCTTTCCATTCTGATTTTTCTTATAGATTGAGCGGACAGTGACAATCTTCTTATTCTCTGGTTTGACATTTCCAAGCTCGTACACACCTGCTTGTTGTTCTATTTCTGCAGGAACACGTAAAGATGGAATTTTATGAAGGATGCGCAGTTTTTTGCAGGTGTTAATTACGGGAATTGGTAAAAGTCCTGCAGGCGATTCTTGATTGCAATGCTCGTCAGAGATGGATGTCGTTCCATCGGAGTAGATAGTTCTTGGCTTCAGTCGTTCGTTTTCAGGAGCTTTCAGAGTCGAAGCACAATGAGCCTGTTTAATATAAAGGTTGATTTGTATAAGTGTTGAAGACAACCTAGGTACTATGCTAATGCCTTCACGTACACACAATTTAACAACACTAACATTCATGGGCGTACCGGAAGGAAAAATTAGAGGGGCGGAAAGAAATTTGCCCGACTTTTCGGGATTGTGCCCGACTAGTACCTAAAAAATTTTTTCCGGAAAAATTAAAATTATTTCGACCTTCCCCCCCCCCGTCGCCAAAAAAATTTCGGTCAGTGTACCATTTTAGGGGTCAAAAAAATTTTTCGGACATACCAAAATTTTTCGGAACATCACACAAATTTTCGAAATAAGACATAATTTACCACAAACTTGACTGAAATTTCGACTAAATTGACAGAATTTGTCCCTTTTATTTTTATTATACACCAAAATTGCCCGACTGTTCATCGAATATTGCCCGACTGCCCAAAAAACTGGGGGGGCTACCGCCCCCCCCCACCCCGCCGCCCGGTACGCCTATGCTAACATTTCTGACAAATATTTGAATAAGGCTAATGAAAAAAACTCTACACCGAATATATATCATTTAGGGACGGACCATTAGAAAAGTGAGGGGGCAAAACCAAAAAAAAATTATTCCCAGAAAAAAGTTAGGAAAAAAATCTACCCAGGTAGTGTAAAAAAAAATTCCTTGCTTGAAAGATAGGCCTATAAATTTCAATTAAAAATATATTACCAGCCACCAAGTGAGAAAAAAAATTCTTCTATAGGTGTACAAAAAAAAATATTGCCTCTTAGAAAATCCCCCCAACACTTTTCTAATGGTCCGTCCCTTATAACATTTTATTTGTGGCCATTAATTGACAATCAACTGACAATTGTTAACTATTGGCAATCAAGTTGCCCTGACAGGGAAGAGGGTCTTTTTCGGGTTGTTTTTAGATAATTAAGTTTTATAGATTAAGTTCGACACAGGTTTTGAATGTTATATGAATATCAAAAGCCAAATAAAAGTTTGGTTACAAAAACGCTTTTAATATAAATGAACTGGACGGGTATAAATGAACTGTATTAAATAGTTTTTCTATGACTTTGATATTTTGTCATTCTGCATGATGGTTAAGCAAGCAAAAACTATCGACGTATGTAAATATACGAATATTCATCAAGATAGCGGCATGAAAACTCGCCAAGAATGTTGTGGTAAATGAATCCCAACAACTATAGACCAATATCTGTCTTATCTGTAATTGCTAAAATTTTTGAGAAAGTAATCTTTGACCAAATGTACTGATGAATATTTAACTATACACAATCTTCTTTCTAATCTGCAATCTGGTTTCAGACCCTTGCATTCCACATTGACTGCATTATTTGATGTTAATGATCAATGGTATATACTAACATGGACATGGAATCCTGTTCATTGACCTTAAATATTCTATTAAAAAAATTCTTATGCTATGGTTTCACCGTTTCAGTAACAATACTCTTGATCTTTTTTGTAACTATCTTTCCGAATGAACTCAAGTTACTGTTATTAATAATATATCATCGCAAAAATGCAGTCTTCAGTGTGGGGTCCCACAAGGATCTATTTTGGGACCATTCCTATATTTCTAATATATATTAACGATCTACCAGATTGTAATCTCATGTCTGAGTGCCGCCTTTTTGCTGATGACACAAATTTGACATATGAATATGCGATTGTAGTTGGGATTTTGCACAGCAAGAGTGTCCAAATTAATGATTTCCAGCGAATTCTACCAGCACAGCAAATTGAGTATCTGTAATTGTAGTTTTGTTTGCCACAACAAGATCGGCCATATATTTTCGAGAGGACTCTACCGTTACAGCAAACTGAGGATATGATAGCGTACGATTTGCCTCCACACAAAAAACGACGATTTATGACTTTTGCTTCTTCAGCTGAAGCATTTGCTACATGCATATACAGTATAAGAAAAATGTTAAGTAAGAGCTATACAAAGATTTTGTCGCAAATAACACAACCTAAGGCTTACCAATTACAGTACTGTTAGTGTACAATAGAGAGTTTAAGCTTCGCGTTATACGTCAAACGGCAAACGCCTAGGCTCGGTCACAGCCGTTCCCTCTTGGGGCCCCAAGAGGGAACGGCTGGTACCGAGCCTACAAACGCCAGGCAACGAAAAATTTTAGGGTATCAGGCAATAACGAGTAAATGAACTTGCTGTTTTAAAACTGAAATACATAATTATTCTTTCGACGCAGAAAAGAAAATATGAAACGATAACATTCAACGAACATTTTACCAAGAAAGTTTGAACCTGCCGTTATTTGCGCACCGTTCCCCGAAACGTGAAGCTTAAACTCCATCAGTATATATGCAACCACTTCATCAGTCAGTTGTACTGAAAGGCATTAATTGTTAGCACACTTCTGATGTAGAAATGAATTTTTCACAGACAATTGTTGTTTCCTTTACATTGCAAATGACGAAAAAATTTGTGGAATGTATTATAATTTATTGTAACTTTTATATTGGCGGGGGGCACGACGAAATTTTCGACTATTATATAGCATATTTCCCCCAAATGGAAGAAATTTCTCCTATTTATTTTTATAATTAGCCTATATTGCCCGACTGTGAAGCAAATATTGCCCGACTAGCCTAGTCTGCCTAACAATCTGGGGGGGGGACAGCTCCCCCATACCCCCCGTCCGGGACTGCATCTAAATTGGAATTCTAATACGAATACGAATTGGATTGAAATTGACTGTATTTTACAAAAATGGTTATCATTTTACAAAAATGATGACTTTATTACGCAAATTTTACCCGAAAATGTCAAAATTTAGCTTGAACTTTACCTGATTTTCACAGTTGGGAGTGGTTTACCCCCCCCCCCACACACAAATGTAAATTGCTAAACAAATAATAGACGAAAACGTTAAAGTTTACATTCATTTTAAAGCGTAGCCATTCAGCTTTCTAACAGTGGGTTGTTTCTTAAATTTGACTCATTGGTTTGCGGGTAATAATACTTTACGTTATTGCGATTGGAGATTAAAAAAATTGAGATAGAATAACAAATCGTTCTCATGAAAATAACTGATTTTTTCATTAAAACAAACAAATGTTGCATTTTATTAAATGGATTGTAACAATAAGTATAATTACGGCTTTTCTTCCACTATTTTTAACTCAGTTTGAAACTTCAAATGCGATATAATTTTGGCTTGGACCATCTAAGCTGACTGACATCAACTTGCTATAATTTCTGTTTACATTACATCGCAATTCGATGACACTCTGGCTCAGACACCAGAATGTTTGACGATTTTTAGCATTCGTTTAGGATTTTCAAACAACCTGGTCTCCTTTAAAATACTTTTAATTTGTTCTTACGTGGTTTTCCAGATGTAGTGACGACAACATTAAAGTTTAAAGAAGAAAATTCTAACATTTAAACCGACTAAACAATAACATATAGTAAACTTGCATAATTAAACAGCAACTAAAAATGATATGTTTTACTAAATCTTTTCCTGTGCAATTATTACTAGCATTGGAGACAAGGATAATAGTTTATTTGAAAGAGAAAAGAACAGGCTTTGAAGTAAGCCTAAAAGCGTTTAACTAGAAATAGTATTTCGAAAGTTATTAAGCACAAAAGATGAATTGCGTTTATTTTGATACACCCTGTATACGTCCCTGTGCGTGGATAAAGGAAATGGCTGAGCACAGGATCAGCTCAAAATATGAAAAACAATGAAGATTGTTGAAAATTTATACAGTCAGCGGCGAGATAAGGCCGACAATCTGCAACCATGAAATCGAAATGTCGACGTTCTGTTTGTATATTTTTCAGGTAGTTGTACAACATGCTGTTTACAAAACGTGCCGAACGCATTAGAAACAATAGATAATGAGGCATTTCAGCTGATTGTTTTTAACGCGTTCGGCACATGAGAAGCGCGACGTTTGAAACAGGTCTTGCTCCTTTAAGCTTTACTCTAAAATACCTTTAAGTACAAGATAAAACATGAGCAGCCGATCTGTATCTGACATACAAACTCGAGCCGAAGGCGAGAGTTTGCGGTGTGTCAGATACAGATCGGATGCGAATGTTTTTTCGTACTTAAAAAACGACCCATCTAAATCATTTATGAGTTCCTTGGTGAAGTAATTTTAAAAATAAACATTGTCTAAGCCGAGAAAATCAAAGCTGAAGTTTATGTAAATCAGGACAAATCTTTATCCGATTTACAAACATTGATTAGACATTCATTTCTTTTGTATTTTCCTCGTGAATTATTAATGAGTTTTTTTCTGAATTTTAATTAAAGAGTCAGATTTCAGTTGTATAATAAAATATCCCTGTATTTTGTCTCAACCTGAGTTGATTACGTATATAATGGACATGTGTTATTATTTTGACCTGCAGACCAAAACAAACATATAGAGGAACGAAGAAAAAACAAGCTACCTCCGATACTACGATAGATTTATGCCATATCAGATTGGCTAAATCGTAGTGTGAACTAAACTCGGCATCTTAAAACTCCCTACTGCATGGCTCTTGTTCGACGTCAGGGGAGGCCAGCAGCATGAACATTTGGCCCCCATCGTTATAAATTATTCATCGTTATAATCGCCAAATATCTTTAAAAGAGAGTCAGATTTTCTAATGAAATAGGCGCATATTTTGTTGAAAGCCGCATGTTTTATTGCACCAAGGCGAAAAATGATAACGTTAAATTAAATGAGTCGGTATGCTTTCCCTGAAGAATACTTAGAATATAGAAACAGTATTTAAAACGATTAATATATACAGTAGGTTAAGATTATTGGCCAGGCATATGAACATATTTGAGACTCCTTTCTGTATTCGCAGCGCTGCAATTTTTGGAAGGGTGACAAGAAGGCAAATCGAAATGACCCTAGTGAATAGGTAATACGGCGAGTCTCGACACAATATAGCTTGGCAGTCCGGCTTGAGAGTTGAGAAGGCCAGCAAGTAACTGGTTAATGCAGTTCAGTGTTATAGCTTCTACTAAGTTTAAGACTCTACTATATGCCCTATATGCTACCTCGAGCTGCAAGCAGGTGAAAGCACCAAAACTCTAACGCAGGAAATTAATACGTCGCAGTTTGGCGGGTTGTCTTTTGTTACTATAAATTAAACTTGAAAACTTCCTTATCAATCAATGCATATTTTAAGTATGACCTTGACCGCTAAGTTTCAAGTTTTCAGTATTTCGGTATTTCTTATTTTCAGATATCAGCTCAAAATATGAAAAGCAATGGGCGGATTAATTATTGGTAAATGCAACTGAGATCCAAACAATCTGCAAAACATTATATATACATCTAAGCGTACAAAGCATAATACATAGCCAAGCTGTTAAGTACGTTCCGGAAGGGTCTATTAGTGACAGTTATTAGTCATATATGATTTTAAAACCGTAGACTCCATGTAGGTTCAGATGATACAATTTTGGCCATTTTATGCAACAATTCTTAGCATGCTGTCTGTATTTCGCGTGTTCTTTGTTAAAAACTTGAAAAGGGCGATTATGTCTTATGCCTAATCAGTGGAGACTCTGGAGAGGATTAGATATACCATGTAAATAGAATGCTTGGCTATACGTCATAGATCTATCTCGATCCTTTGCATGACGTATTAAGCAATTCAGGTTCGTTGTTTATCATTGCAAAATCTTTTTTATTTGTGGCACTGTGCTGTTGGTAAATTTCCCCTTTGAACAAAATCTGCGGGTTTCAGTATAAGTGTTTTGTATGTGAGGGTCACATCGATCCTGTTTGCATCACACGATTTGCTACCAGACATCATAATCATGCAGTGGGATAACCGATAGTGTTGTTTCCTTTTAATAGAGCCGGCCGCCAGCCTCGTACTCAGGCGCTTTAGAATATCAGTCATTTAAATTTGTAGTTCAACATGCAGTTCAACATAATCTCCCTAAGTGAAAATTTTGAGTAAATAATTTTATGGCGAGCTACGAGCGTACCATCATATCCACGGTCTTTTTCTTATCAAGTAGAGCAAAGTTTTATATATTCAATCAATATAAACTTTTTAACTAATTAGTAATTAGTCTAAAAATCTACTTGATCATTACATGCATTGATTGATTGATAAGGAAGTCAATAGCAACTGAAGACAAACCGCCAAGCTGAAGCTGAAGCTGGAGGCTGCCAAAGACGTAGTAATTTCCTGTTTTGGAGCTTATATAACCTGCTTCCAGCTCGAGGTAGCATGTAGTAGAAGCAACAACTGCAGGTTAAAGAAGTTCGTGTGTTACGACTAATTAAGTTAGAGTTTAATAGCAGCACTTGGATACCTTTCTGCGAGATGAAGTGGCTGTTTGTATGTGTGGGGATTTGCTTATTGTACGCTATTGTTGGTAAGTTTATATGCGGTTGTTTTATTTGCTGCCAAACCTTTGTACCACCTTGAATTTCTATTTTTGTTATTTAGCAAATGCTTCAGCTGAAGAAGCAAAAGTGAGAAATCGTCGTGCTCTGTGTGGAGGCAAATCGTACGATTATAGATTCCGCGTTTGCTGTGGCGGTAAAATTCTCTGGAAAGGAAATGGTGCTTCGTGTTGTGGAAATCGCAACTATGATTACAGATTCCGCGTTTGCTGTGGTGGTAATATTCTCTGGAAAGGGAGTGGTTCTTCTTGTTGTGGAAATCGCAACTATGATTACAGATTCCGTGTTTGCTGTGGTGGTAATATTCTCTGGAAAGGGAGTGGTTCTTCGTGCTGTGGAAATCGCAACTATGATTACAGATTCCGTGTTTGCTGTGGTGGTAATATTCTCTGGAAAGGGAGTGGTTCTTCTTGCTGTGGAAATCGCAACTACGATTATAGATTCCGTAAATGTTGTCCAGGGAACGTAATAAAATCCTGGTGTTGAGAACGAAAAACTAATAACACGCCTTAATAGTTATAATATGTTAAATTTAATCTGTGCGTTTTAATGAGCTAGTGTGTAATCACGAATAATTATTAAATAGATTGCATTGTTATACTTTTGTTTCACATCAATTTGTTTTTGCCATGGAATTTGAGCACGAAATACTATCTTCTACTCTTGGAATTCGTTCCTGTTAGTGCCTTATCCTAAATTCTAATGTCGACATTAAGTACAATTGTTTGATTATTAACCAGTATTTATACGAATTACGAAGGCAACGATTGATCGAAGCGCCATAATGAACATAATTATTTTTATTATATTCTGTCATAAAACAAAGCACGCAAATATATAATATAGTTTGCATAAACATTTGCACGGAGTAAAAGCCAAGTTATATATACACTTAAAATGAGATGATTTTTTATGATTACTATACTCTCACAGTGCCATGAGTCAGTTGCCATGTGCAACTATATATGTCGCTTTGTGCATCTGACCTTCAGTAATTTTTATAAAATTGGCGCGAATAGTAGCATTAAAAAGTATAGTGCACGTTACTGAAAAAAGTTTTTATTTCCTTTTTAATTAAATGGTTACATGGCATACCCAGCTAGGATAAATAACTCGATAAAGAGTGTTTTGTCCTAAAGTGAAAAATATGCCAAATCTCCACCTTTTCCTAGATCCCCCCCTCTCGGTATTAATAGCAGAATCATTTGATATTAATTTATTACCACTCTCCTCGGCACACCGCAGAGGCGTCATATAGGCATAAGTTGAACACGAAGACTGGCTACATATAGTTAAGGTGATTCGAGCTCCCTACAGTTGTTTAATTAAGCATTTGGATTGGTAACGAAATGACGTGACCTTGTCGAGTTGCCTTTGGCACGTCGGCAAATTAAACTGTTTCGTTTGACCGCGCAAGGTTTGAAATGCAATATAAAGTTTTTTCATCAGTCGATTTTTCTGAAATTTTGTATTTTACTAGTCATTTATTGCAATATACTTAATTTTTAAAAAAATTCTATAAAACAGTTTCAGTTGTGGAATAAATTTCGCGTAATATCTCAAAAACTGAATTTATAACCCCTCCCCCCTAATTACTTGGGCTAGAAATGGGCTTTCTGCTTTCCATGTCGAGAAATTGCAGTCATGCGCATTAACTGCCACATATCATTGTTTTCATGTGACATTACACCAAGTATATCCCCTGTTCGTCAATGCATTTCTAAATTTAGGCCGAGTTTACACTACGACGCTTCGGCAATTTTACCGTAGCGTAGTGATTTGCATCCGGAGTGCCAAACGTAGTTGTGTGTAGTTAATACGCTACGGCAAACCACTCCGTTATAGTGTAAACACAATACTAAGAAACGTAGTGAATTTTTAACGAAATTCATTTCCGCAGTTAACACGCTACGGCAATCCACTCCGTTAAAGTGTAATTAATTAAACACAATATAATTCGGAGGGTCCTGAAGGGGGGGGGGGGTCCCAATCCCATTTCCCACCTGAAATTTTGGCAAAATCCCAGTCCCAGTTGGATTTTTATTAGAAATCCCAGTCCCAGTTATTGAAATCCCAGTCAATAAAAACCCCTTTATTTATCGGTAGAATAAACAGTTTTAAGACCTTTTAAGCATGTGACGGACACTTTATGAAATATCAGGGGGGGGGGGCGCGTCGAAGACACGGAAAATTTTTAAATTTGAATCCCGGAAATTGCATTTGCAGCATTCTGAGACGCGCATAATCAGAAAACCCAGAATTCCGGGTGCCAGAGTATGCCTGTTCGCAGGTAGTGCTGTGAATAATATAGTTAACAACAAAAATCATGACCAAAGACACCAAAAACGGATCAAAATTGTATTTTAAAATACTCAAAACGCAGAAAAATTGGGAATCGACTCGCATTACCTCAATCCCATTCCCATTTTTGAGGACTTCATTTCCCATTCCCAGTGGCCAAATCCCAGTCCCAGCAACCCAAATCCCATTTTCCCAGTCTAAAAATAGATCAATCCCAGTTCCCATTTTACCCCTTCAGGACCCTCAATTCGGTAGTTAGTACGCTACGGCAAACCACTCCGTTATAGTGTAAACACAATATAATTCGGTAGTTATAGTACGCTACGGCAAACCACTCCGTTATAGTGTAAACACAACATAGTCTCAATACTAGAAACGTAGTAAATTTTTAACGGAGTGTTTAGCCGTAGCGTATAGTGTAAACGCGGCCTTCATGTTGTGGTCCTTGAAATGTTGTCGTCGTGATCGATCCTAAAGACTAATTTCTTCGAAGATTTTACTGCAATTCACTAGTGTTCAATTGTGGTTTGGCTTGCCATTGGCCATTGCTAGGAAACTGTGCAAATAGTTCTACAGTTGATCGAATGAAAACTATAAACGTGAACATTGAACAATGATATGAAGTAAATTGAAGTTATCGTGAACCATGATATGAATCAACCTTATCAAAGCTCAACACTACATGGAAACGCTTTGACTTGTATGAAATGTTTTGAAAACACTTTGCTTTCTTTTACTTTTTATTACTTTTACAGCTTAGATCTTCTGCTTATTTTTACTTTTAACATTACTGCGTGATGCACCTAGTTGTAAGCAGTAATCATGCAAAATACATTTAATATAATTCAGTTTTACACAAATTTTACACGCTAATTTAGCTGACGACAAGTCGACAATAAGAATGCTAGTATCAGCTACTCGGGAAAGACAAATATGCTTTGCCTTTAATACATTCCTAACTGTGATGTTAAACTGTCAAGCCTAGCTTGATGCTGTGAATCCGTTTTTGTGGTGGGAGTTTTGACAAGTGTGTGGAAATTGGTAAAACATCATTAGTGCTCATAATTAGATACCATTACCTGATACTTGATATTTTATTCTATCCGCCACTCTAGCCAGAGCACTCTAGCCTAGTTATGCTATTAATAACATATTTGGTGGATGTCAGTGCTTTGTATTCACTTGGAAGTCCCATGTCAGTCCCAGTATCTTTCTTCTAAGACTATGTCATAGTGACTAATAAGACCATTTTAGATGTTAAGAGATATGAATTTTTATACGAATTATCGGTGCGGCATTTTTGTCCAGATTCTACTGCATTCTTTGACAGAGCCGTCGAGAGAATTGGCGGGGACCCGGGGCAAATCTTCTCTGGGGGGCCCCATGACATCATTACTTTTAAGCTATACCTTAAATAGACTGCATGTGGAGGTACTGTAAGGGACCCACAATTTCAAAAATGCTCTGACCAATTTAAAGAACCTACTCAATTTTATGTTATCACTCTCAAATTGGGGCCCTACTATTGGTGAGGCCCTGGAGCAATGCCTTCCTCCCCCCCCCTCTCGGCGGTCGCAGGCCTTAAAATATCGGTCGGTCACGGACATTGTCCGACCCATTCGTGAAATTGTCCGACGTAGAAAGGAAACCACCGGACATTCTGTCCGACCAAAGTGAAACTGGGCCGGTTTATTGTTTGGCCGACCCGAGTGTATTGGTGTCCGACCGAACTGTAGCTTTGTCCGACGTAAATCAAAATGTACCCTAGCCCAGGACTAGAGGCTTGTATGCTAAATGGAAAATCAGAGTACAATTGTATAAAAGGTGAACTGGAAATGTTGTTTTAACGTAGTCGAGCGCGGGGCGGCGAGCGAAATGGTGAAGTAGAAAACGGGCTTAAGTTGTCGCAGTCTTTTTGATACTGCTGTTCTGGAAAGCAAGTTAATTTTGGCTTGGAAATAAGTATGAAAGAAACAAATTATTTAATATCTTTACAACATTTACCGTTTATTCATTTGTGTCATTCAGACTTATTTCCGTGTCAAAACTGAACTGAAGGTCATCTGACATATGTCCGACCCAAACTCAACGTCACCGGGCATTTTGTCAGAAGGCCCTGGAAAAGATATTTTAAGGCCTGCGGTCGTGTTCTTTGAAATAACTTTGATTGACCTTTATTTTAACTTGTAGTTTTGAGCTAGCAAAAAATTTGGGCATAATCTTAAATGCATGTTGTGTCCGAAGGGGCTAATATAAAGTTCTGATTGCTGCTGTGGTATAACAGAATACCAGTAGGTGGAATTTGAATTTAAAGATTGAATTTGCACACAGGGCCGCAGAGAGGGGGGGGGGGCAAATTGCCCCGGGCCCCGAGGTGCTGGGGGCCCCTGAAAATTTTTTGTTGGGCCCCAGTCTTTTTTGTGTGTTAAATATTTCCGCGCAAAGGACAAGATATCTGTTTTTTGGGCTAAGTACCGAAATTTGGTATAAAAAATGAGATAAAGTCCCTGGAAAGCAATTGCAACGTACTCGTCCGGAAAATTTTTTTACCTAAAAAGTTGTCGACGGGGGGGGGGTCGACTTTTGAGCAAAAGTAAAGGCATATATGCAAAAGTAAAGGCATATATAACGTGCCCGGATCATCTTGAATTCATTGCTTGTACTTTGCATAAGCCAATTTATTGTTATTTTAATTAGGCTCACGAATTCCAGCATTCTATATTAGCCATAATATGACTGATTTACTGGAAATAGTAGCCCAAGTTAACGCCTGAGTAGGCGTCTTGTTTTTTATATAATCTTCCACCAGATATTCCCTTTACACTTACAAAATTGGCAAACTGACCGAAGGAAATTTTAATAAATTTATTTTTAAAATTTTGATCTTTGTCTGCTGTCGCTTAGGCCACATTGTTACCATAGCAAAACATAATTTCCTTCTTTCGAACGATTATGCTTGACTGAGTATAAAGATTATGCAGGCTTTTCTACTTCCAAAAAAATTCCTCATTTCACATAAATAGCAAATATTTTGCATCATTGTGAAGACCTTATTTTTCGCTGCTGTTTCTTTACAACTGTAGGGAGCCACCTTAAATACGTGGACCATATACTCGCAAATTGTGAGGCATGCAGCCACGCGCGCGTTTCCGACTACTACCATTTTGCCTGATTAGGCCCGCGTTTCCAGACGGCGTACTCTTCATGATTGTGCCGAACTTAGGCTAATTGTATGCGTTCGGCGTAGGAGCGATACAATACGCGGCGTACAAAATATCTGAATAGTAGTA